TCTTCTACATGCACATGGCACAGTACGTCTTATTTTCTCTCTTATATGTTTTTCCCACCCCTCGGTTTTGTTTTTCTGGAACTTGTCCCATTTAATATTTGCTATTCGGTTACAAGTATCAGATGAACGTTTTCTGCTCTAAGAAACTATAATCCAAAACTGAGGCTCTTAGGCTGTTAGTTTTAAAGGTCGAATAATTTCCCTTTCTGCAGCTTCATGGGGTGGACGACAACATCAGTAGGAGCAAGAAAATTCTTACTAATATGTCCAGAAGGATGAGCAGGAACAAATGGATCATTGGTTCCATCATTGCAGTCTTAATCGTAGCCATTATTTTGATTCTTTACTTCAAGCTCACTCATTAACTTGTTGGCCTGAATATTTAAGTGAATGTTTTCGTGTAATTTGGCCTACGTAGTTTCGCTCAAGTTCCTGAACTGGTGTACCAGCCTTCTTTCTTTGCGTCCCTCAATTTTTTTGTACTGCCCATGTTCTTTTGCTCAAGTTCCTGACCTTGTGTACCAGCTTCTTTCTTCGAGTCCCTCAAATTTTATTTTTTTATTGGTGCTAAAGCTACATTTTCAATTCTTGTGTTTGTGATATGTTTCACTTATAACATTCTGTTGGTGACGATTCGACATTCTTGTCAATGACTTTCTTTTTTAATGTTTTGATTAGCGTGATGATCGTATGTTTATAGAATTATGTTAAGTGTACATTTTATGAATGACATCTTGCCTTACATTGTGTGGAAATTCAAAAAGTGTTGAGTGGGAAAATGTCTGTTTTTTTTTTAATTATTTTAAAAAAAACTGTCCAATCATGTGTTGACATGTGGCACAATGTAAAAAATGATATAAAACAAGATGTATATATAGCATGATTGATGTTTATACCATGATGAAGTACATAATTTCTAACTGCATAGAATAAGTCCATTCTACCAAACATGCTTTCTTTGCAATCATTGATGGTTAATTAATTTTTTTTACGACTTGTTCAATCTTTCTTTATTTTTTTCTTATTTGAGCTTAAGGTTCTGGTCCTCTACGTAATCCTGCTCTTTTTTAGCTTGAAATTGTGAATGCCTAGAATTGCAAATCAATAAGTTTGACCGCTCTCATACTTCCAATAGCCTACGCGCCCACCAGTACTGATTTCAATGAAGATATTGATTTGAAGTGAAATAAATTTCTCAATATTTTCTAGTCTCAAGGATTAGGTTTGCGCGAACCCCTGCTTTCCAGAGCTACAAGTTAGAGTTAGAGATACTTGAAGATGCATTATGAGGTAGTCATAAACGGATGCTTTTCTAATGATCAGATCTGAATCATGTTGTACATGAGCACGACCAGTCAGTCATTTATGTTCTTCCAGATCCCTTGGGTGAAGAATCCATACTAGCCATTCAACCTTCCTCTTTCTCCTCCTCTTCTTCTACTGTGGTCGGTTGTCTATTAAGATATATGTACTGTTAACCTTCTATACAAACTGTCCTTTCACGAGGTGTTCTGAGAGCTGTTTCCGGTTGATATATCTTATCATCATAACATCTCTCCTTGCGCTTCTTCTTTAACTTCATCAAGGCTGCCTCTCTACGATCAACTTGACTTTATAAGGATAGGCTGTATGTGATGAAAACCAGTAATATCATCAGGAAACTCATTTCTTGGAAGCATATGCACCCAAGCAAATTATTTGGAATTCCTAGGTAGTGCTTGAACCCTTCATAGAAAATAATCAGTGACATGGTTGCTGCTAGGATGGTCTTGTTCTTGTGATGATTTTCGAGGGAGGCTCCATTACTATGTCCTTGGATATTGGTACTCACTTTCCCATTCAATGTAGTAATCTTTTCTACAATCTTTAAATGTTGAGAAGCATTTTCATGAACGGAGGAAGCACCATGGTTGTTGCTTGAATTAACACAAGCAGAAAAGGTTGCAGACTCTCCTATCTTTAGTTCACTCTTCTTCGAAAATGATGAAATTTTCCCTGAAAACATTTCTAATGGTTAGGCATGTGTAAGGAGACGAGAGAGTGGGAAAACACACACACACACACACAAAAAAAAGTAAAATGCTTGAGAATTGCCAGAGCATTTACCTGTTAGTCTATCAATTCTCCGTGCAACACTAGACAACCCACCCAAGAAGCCTAAGTATCTAGTCTCTATAACAGCAGTAATAATGGTAGCATTAGTCTGCAATAAAGTTGCATGGGCAAAAATAATGCACATGAAGCAAATGTTAGTTAAAGACTATAGACTTAGCAGCAAAAGAATTGCCCTATTCATAGATTAA